TCTCCCGAAAAGGTCTTTTATTTTTTTAAAAAGTCCATAAAATTTGCTTGCGGTTTAAGATTTGTATTCCTGCCTTTTGCACCATAGCACGTATCTCGTTATTTTCAGGCCAGTGTGAACGCCTGAGCAGGCGTCTTGTTGTAAATGAGTAGACTTGCCACAAGTCGACCTCGAACGAAATGCGTTTCTTCGAGGTCGACTTGTGGCAAGTCTAGCAAATGAGAACCATACAAATGATATAATAATGGTTCCAGTTCTTGTTGGTATTTTGAACGCACGCTTTATCTTTAGTATAGCTACCACAAAGCTTTTTATTTTCGTGCAGTACTAAATATTATATTTTGTGGTTTTCGAGTCATTACACAAAGAAAAACACATTAATTCAACACGCAAGAAAGTCCAGAGTACGACACAACGTAAAATACGTAGGAAACCGGCACAATTCTTTGAAAATTCAACGAACTGTGTAAAATATAGTTTGATCACTCTGTGAAAAGCCGCCATTGCAGTTCGGAATTGTGCGCGTGCGTACAAGTGTATAGGCTAATAAACGAAAAATGTACCGCAAGCATGGCATGAGTCGACTATTACGTACATATATACGAGCTTATTACTATACTATCTAAATCAAGGAACCGAGGGAATCGATGGCATTTTGGCTTAATCGTTGCACCCTGAGCCTGCGATGAGCTAACGCAAACTCGATTTCTCGACTACGAAAAAAACAGAAAAAGGGGGATTTAAGACACTTGGCCTTACAGGCCAGTGTAATGAAAGTCAGGAGAATGAATATTGCTACAAATGGGCAGGCATACACTGTACAGTATACATGCGACAAAACCCTGTCTAGACGGCCTTGCGTCAAGGATAATGATTGGATAATATTTTTAGAATATGATGCATTAAGGTGGCTCCCTACAGTTTTCTAAAATTTTAAGTATTTTCGGTAACCTTCGTTTTCAACCAAATTTATATTGAACACACTTAAGACAGGGCAATATAATCATTTCCAGGAAAGTTCAGAAGTCTTCTGCTGTCGATATATGAACAAATAGGAACAGTGTTAGTGTTGCCATGGCAACCATGACGTTTCATCTTTTGCACTTTTCTTGTCTAATTTTACAATCAAACGGCAATATCTTTTTTTTCCTTCGGTCAATTTTTCTGAATTCTTTTTTTGAGATTTATGGTTGAAAAAGGAATGACATATTAAAATTTGAAGGGACGTTTATAAGGCAGGTTTTGAGATATTCATGAATAACGACTACAAAAAATCTGTCTTATAGAATTTCTTGAAATTTTGATATGTTTGGCGAATCGTCATGATTAGTAAACGTGCAAAGTTTAAAAAATTTTCACCGAAGGAAACGCGAGAAAAATAGTCCTAAATCCAGTTGAAGCTGTTGACGTGACAAAATATCGATTCGACATGATCACTATTTGCGCATGCGTGTAAATTATAATGCGTGAGGAACACGAAACGTGTATGGTTTATAGTTGGCCTTTTTAGCAATTTTCACTTTGATTTTTTGGCTTATATGTATCACACAGATATTTTTTACATATTTGAAATGCAAATAATATATATATAGGTCTATATATGTTCAAAATACGAAAAATTGAGAACACAATAACACACTTAATCCAACGTTTCTTAAATTTAGTTTTGTTGTAAAAATCGGTGTGAAAACTTTTCAAAACATTCAAGTAGAGTTTGACTTTTCGTATAAAACAACTCGTAACTGTCCGCATTATAGTTTTATTGGATTCAGCAGATAAAAAACTATATGTGAACTGAGTTGAATGATAGGATTTACGTAAGTTTCAGTGACAGTTCAGAAGTGCCTTGAAGACAGTATAAAATATAATTTCAGTCCGTGACACTGGTGTTGAACATTGTGAGCATTATGAAATACAGTACTGAACGTATTAAATATATAAAAAAAAAACACACATAAGGTAGGTAAAAAACTAGCTAACAACATACGTACTGTTCGAATGTTGAAAAGTTTAGGATTATAATAAAAAACTGGCGTTTTCTTTGTAGATAAAAATACAAAAACAACTTCCCGCGGCTTGTTTCAAGATTTTTACCGGGCCACGAAGATTCCACGCGCGAGTCGCGAGGATGACGTCTGAGCTATATAAATGTTCTAAACTGGACTATAACTGTAGGGAGCCACCTTAAGCCATTATACATTTTTTGCATTCTTTATCCGAACCAGGAATCGCTAACAAATTCACCAGAGGTTTTTCCTTTTTCTTCGCGCGTTTTCTCGCATTTCGCGTTCGCCAAACCTAAAAAAACCTCTGGGCCAGGGTAAGGACAGTTTAGTTTTATCAAAAAATAGCACAGATGTGCATTCCTGGTGAAGGGCAATTGATAGCCCATAAAAAGAAACCGTCCGTTTTTACGGGAACACCAAGTTTTGACTTACTAGCTTTACGGGTAGAGTTTAAAGCATGATGATTAGGCTTGGTCTTTAACACCGTGTCTTTTTGACAGATTGTGGCGTTTCAAAGCATTTTTTTTATCCTCATGTCTTTTCGACTGATTCGCTCCATTTCTGGTGTGATTGTTCTGTTTAGTAGCACTTTGCTACAGTATCTGGTTTATTTGCTGATAATGCAAATAGTGTGTTGATTTTCAAACACTTCAAGATTGCATTTTTTCAGGGGTTTTGGCCACCGAATTTTGGTGACAAAGTCATCTCATCGGTCATTCGACCTGTTCATGTAAAATTAAATTTTACATTGGCCTTTTAACTTAACGGCAAGATACATTTTCGTGAAAAATTAATTTTTATTTAATGCAGTCTTTTAGTGCTGTCATATCGTTGTGTGACGAATGTAGTCTTCGAAGTGTATATTGTATTATGATTTACTAATTTCTATTTAGATGAGTTTAAAATTGGAGTGTGGGAGGATCTCTCTAAAATACAGGATCCTTCGCTTGTATCGCTGGCTTCCTCGCTTCCTCGGGTTGTGTTGAATGCAAAGGCTCGAAATACGACAGTCCGCTATGCTTATGGATGGAACAGATGGAAGATCTGGTCCAAGTCTAAGATTGGTGTTGCGTACCTTCCTGCTCAGCCTATGTTCGTGGCGTTATATCTGCGTCAATTCCTGGATTCCGCCAAGACCACTTCACCTGTGGATACTGCTGTGTATAGCATTCGTTGGGGGAATATTTTGGCCGGCTTACCCTCTCAGACACAGCCACCCGTTGGTTCAATCTACCTACGAAGGCTGCCGACGAATTCTCTCTCGACCAAGAGAACCTGAAGATCCTGTCCAACCTTACATGTTAGAAACGTTAATTCAGAAACACGGGCATTATCGCGCATCTCCGGCCGATGGGGTATAGTGGTTCTTGGGGTATACTGAATTTTTTGCGTATCGGTGAACTTTTATCCATTGAAGTCAGGCATATATTCGTATAGTTCCTGAAGGCATGTCTATATTCCTACCAAAACGCAAAAACGACCAATTTCGCGCCGGTGTCACAGGACATTTGGCCCCAGTGGCACTGCGCACAAAAATACACATTTTACTATTATATTTCAAATTTTTAGACAAGCTTTGTAAAATTAGATGAGATTGTACTGATTACTAAATGCTTACTTTTCCAAAGTCTGGTTGAACCTTTCAGTCAATCCATTTGTTTGGGGGTGATACGCACTGGTAATGCGGTGATCAACACCAGTACGAGCGAAGAGCTCGTTGTTTACCTGTAATAATAAAAGAATAAAAAACAAAATTCAATTATATGAAAACTAGAGGTTCTGTAAAAAACTACAGCTTATTCTAACATGAGCATGTTAGCAAAGCAACGGATATTACGGAAGTACAAGTGAGCAAGTGACCTCAGCGTACCTCAAGACCAAGCCAGTTAAAAGTGAGTTTTTCAACAGTATTGTGCATTTCTATTACTATCCCATGCTCTTTCATTCGAAATAATCATTGTTTTATCTTCAAACTCCGAGTTTATCTGTGGAGTTTATCCGCCCTATAGCGATTTAAACGGTCTCAAGAGACCGTTTAAGTTTACACGGTGGATAGACAAAGTTTAACCGGTGGATAGTGCTAAACGGGCTTCGTACAACGCGACTTCTCGAGCGTTTAAATTTTATCCGGCGGTTAGCGAGTTAAACGGTGGATAGCGACTTAAACGCCTTTCGTACAACCGGCCCCTGGCTGTGTCATACATTTCAGAGTATAATATATTTTTCGATAATGCTCACAATTTCTTTCTTATTTTATAGTTTTGCAGTTCTGACTGAGTACAATCATAGATATCTTATATACACTAGATAGTGCATCTAACTATTCTGCAATTCAAAAATTGAAGCCGTGAAGTCTCAGGTCGTTCCCATGAAATGAGAAGATTCGTATGTTTTCTATTTCTTAAATTAAACAGGGAACTTAAACATTAAGTTAACCCTATTGCAAATACATTTTCAAACTATTCAAATGATGAAAGTTATTGTTGTTTTTAAGCGTTTATTAGCAAGTGGGAACGACCAACATGGCCGCCATCTATTCAAATGGGGGTAACCGCTGGAATATTCGTGGCTTCAATTTTACTAAAAGAGATGCGCTATCTAGTGTATATAAGATGTCTATGAGTACAATCTTAGTCATTAATACAAAATGAATGGTGTCGTCTGAAGCTGACGTATTAAACAAAAATGTCAACAAATAGATTTTGTCTCCCCATCGGCAGGCTGTTCAGTTGTTCTGCGATAGGGGTAGCCTTGAAGTTTCCATTAAAATGATAATTGGGACAAAAACTGACTTAGTCCCCGAGCTGACGGCGCGAAGCGCCGTGCGAGGGTACCAATTCCCCCCGGCTATTTACACCCGGGGAAACGAAAGCATTAGCCAAGTCTAAAGTTCATCAATGAGCGCGGGCGTGGGTCACCGTGAGTGGTTCGGTGGTTCGGTGGGTGGTCATTCTCACTGATCTCAAAAATATGGCGGACTATCATGAATAGCGGACACTGATTGGTCCAATTTAAAGTTTGCATTATAACGACTGCATGACGACAGCGAAATAGCAAACATTTCTTGATTTGATGATTGATAAATTTCTTGCAAATATATTTCATTTTTGATCGCATTTTTGCAAGATTTTGTAAATTTTAAGAAAGAAATGGCAAAAGAATCGACTAAAAGAAAGGGAGCCGACGTTAACGAATGTAAGTTTGTTTTAAATATTGATTTTATAATTGCTTTAAAACCCGACGGCCTTTGGCTTTGCGTATATGAAACAACTAAACAAGACAGCATATAATTTCAGTGTATCTTTAATATTGATTCCCTTTTTTATTATATTGAACTTTTTAAATAAAATTGAAAGAAAGCAAAGTTATTTGCATGCGAGAATTTGAAATCATTTTATTGCAAACTCAACGTTTATCGATAAAGCCATTTCATTAAAGACCGTTTAGTTTTATAAAGAACACTTTAAAACTTTTTGGGAAGCGTTTGTGGTTGAATTAGTAGTATAGGAAGTAGCGGTTCTAGACCACTTTTTCAGCCCGCGATCCCACCCCACTTCCGGTCAGCGGTTTCCCAAATTTTCCCCAAAACCGCGGGCTCATTTTTCTAGACCATTTTTTCTAGACCATTTTTATCCACATTTTTTATCTATTATTTAACAATTTATTTTCCTATTGAGTGGTGTCCGTACGCGTAACTTGTAACACCATCTTCAAGTAAGTACCGTTTATCATCGAAACAGCTGAGTGTGATTTTCTTCAGTTCGTAAGTTCCGATTTTATGTTTGACGCTTCTGATTGTGTTGATCTTATGTCTCATCAAACCTCTCGTCTTAATTACGTTCTTGAAGTTTTCGTGAGTGAGTTTGTTTCTAACCACATACTTTTTCACTCCTTTCGCGGTCATTCCACCTCCGCCACTTTCCTTCACGTAGGAGTACATCTTCGACCTTAACCCGACAAATTCAATCACCGGTACTCCCGCAGCTTCGTCCTTAAACTTGCCGATCACCTTCTTGTTATGGGCTGAGTAGTACGGGGAATCTTTCGAGTAATCGGAGTTGTCCCAGCAGTCTTTCTCCTCACCGATTCTCCTGAAGTCCTCATACACATCGTCGGTCTTTATCTCATACATCAGACTGTCGGTGTCTGTGAAAAGTAGCTTTGACCTATCACCGTACTCCTTAATTGTGTTGTAATGGAAGTCGTACATAAGAGTCTTTGATAAGTCCAAGATGCTCATTCCAACGTAGCACGGTTTGTTTAGAGTTAGAACTTCCTTCGTTCGCTTTACAACTATTAAGTTCTCATTCATAATTCTATGCGACTGGAAGCACGGCGACGCTGTAAGTTTTAGGAGGTCATTTTCCGATGACACTAATTTCACGTCAACTCTCTTCCTTAGATTCTCCATGGTCTTTCCATAGATTGAGTTGTTAATTAATTTGAAGAAGTTCTTTTCAAAAGTATTACGTGCAACTGACCGTTTCTTCGTATTGAAGTCGATATAGTTCTTAAGACAAGGGGACTGTTTGAATGAGACGGCTCTATGGACCTTCGTAAGTTTCATTCCGAGTTCCGTGTAGAGTTTCAGATTGCGGGCGTGTAAGACGTAGTTTTTTCTGGGACCTAGGGAGTTCACCAGTTTTCTTACTCCTCCAATTGTCAGCTGGAATTTATCAGCAATATCCTTCGCGTAGTCTGACAACATCGAGGCACCGATCTCCTTACTCTCCGGTGCTAGCGGATAACCGTTGTGTAGATTATGAAGTTCCTTTGGGTATTCCATGTCAACCTCTAAAACCATACCCCTTCCGTT